AAACTACATGCATTTTAACATACCTTATTTTAAACTACCTGCCTTATTTATAGCTGCATGCTAATGTTAGCTTAAACTACATGCCTCATTTTAAACTACATACCTTATTTTAAACTACATGCCTTATTTTATAGCTGCATGCTAATGTTAGCTTAAACTACATGCCTCATTTTAAACTACATACCTTATTTTAAACTACATGCCTTATTTTATAGCTGCATGCTAATGTTAGCTTAAACTACATGCCTCATTTTAAACTACATACCTTATTTTAAACTACCTGCCTTATTTTATAGCTGCATTCTAATGTTAGCTTAAACTACATACCTTATTTTAAACTACATGCCTTTTTTTATAGCTGCATGCTAATGTTAGCTTAAACTACATGCCTCATTTTAAACTACATACCTTATTTTAAACTACATGCCTTATTTTATAGCTGCATGCTAATGTTAGCTTAAACTACATGCCTCATTTAAACTACATACCTTATTTTAAACGACTGCTTATTTTATAGCTTCATGCTAATGTTAGCTTAAACTACATACCTTATTTTAAACTACATGCCTTATTTTATAGCTGCATGCTAATGTTAGCTTAAACTACATGCCTCATTTTAAACTACATACCTTATTTTAAACTACATGCCTTATTTTATAGCTGCATGCTAATGTTAGCTTAAACTACATACCTCATTTTAAACTACATACCTCATTTAAACTACATGCCTTATTTTATAGCTGCATGCTAATGTTAGCTTAAACTACATGCCTCATTTTAAACTACATACCTTATTTTAAACTACATACCTTATTTTATAGCTGCATGCTAACGTTAGCTTAAACTACATACCTTATTTTAAACTACATGCCTTATTTTATAGCTGCATGCCTTATTTTATATCTGCATGCTAAAGTTAGCTTAAACGACATGCCTTATTTTATAGCTGCATGCTAACGTTAGCTTAAATGGCATGCCTTATTTTACATCTTCATGCTAATGTTAGCTTAAAGTACATGCCTTATTTTAAACTACATGCCTTATTTTATAGCTGCATGCTAAAGTCAGCTTATAATCCATGCCTTATTTTATAGCTGCATGCTAAAGTTAGCTTAAACAATTCGCCTTATTTTATAGCTGCATGCTAAAGTTAGCTTAAACTATGTGCCTTATTTTATAGCTGCATGCTAAAGTTAGCTTAAACTACATGCCTTATTTTAAGCTACGTGCCTTATTTTATAGCTGCATGCTAAAGTTAGCTTAAACTACATGCCTTATTTTATAGCTGCATGCTAACGTTAGATTAAATTACATGCCTTATTTTAAACTACATACCTTATTTTAAACTACATGCCTTATTTTATAGCTGCATGCTAATGTTAGCTTAAACTACATGCCTTATTTTAAACTACATACCTTATTTTAAACTACATGCCTTATTTTATAGCTGCATGCTAATGTTAGCTTAAACTACATGCCTTATTTTAAACTACATACCTTATTTTAAACTACATGCCTTATTTTAATCTACATGCCTTATTTCATAGCTGCATGCTAATGTTAGCTTAAACTACATGCCTTATTTTAATCTACATGCCTTATTTTAAACTACATACCTTATTTTATAGCTGCATGCTAATGTTAGCTTAAACTACATGCCTTATTTTAATCTACATGCCTTATTTTAAACTACATACCTTATTTTATAGCTGCATGCTAAACACCCCAGCAATCTTCTGACCCAGACTCCAGTTCCAGCTCCGATTCTGATTCAAAAAAGAAGAAGCAGAGTAAGGGGAAGAGAAAGAAGGACAAAAGAAAGAAAAACAAGACAAAGGACAAGAAAAATAACAAAGGAAAAGACTACAGAAGTCGAGGTAAGATCAAAAATAGCCCTTAAATAGGAGATTTTGGTTATTAATGTAAAATCAATGTACATAAACAACAACAATATGATCTATGCACAATTACAGCATTACATGGATCAATGACACTGATATATCCCAAAGCCTCAAACCGAAAAGTTTGACAATCAAATCAGCCAGTGTTTATTCTTGAAATAATATATAGACGTAATTGTTTTCTGCTGCTGTTTGATTACAGACGCTATTAACTTCACGTAGTACGCATGAGCACAACACATGCAGCGCGGCAGATCCAGCAGATTGAAGTGTTTTCTACCCACCAGTGTGGCGTGTAGTCTCAACAACAGAATTTACCCACATTTGGTGAGTGGCAAGTGCTAATTTTCTACTCCTTAAGGCTCGGTCAGTTTAGGTCTGCCTAAATGTGTCATTTACCTCAGTGCATGTCCAGAGTATATACAGTGCAGTCTGTCCTCTGAACAAATGCAGAAGCATGCAGTTCATGTTAATTAGCATTAATACATAGAAGCCGGTCTTGTACAAACAACAAAGTCACTTAAATCACTTTTCTTCCAAATTCGGTTACTTGGGCTAAACTTCAGCGAAAGTCTTGCCACATGATTGGCTGATTAGATATTTGCATTAACAAACTAAAATCGCATTCTGTAAATTTCCTCACCACATACTTCTTTGATTGCCTCGCCTGACTGTCACAAAAAGACAATCAGAGACACCTTAATCACATCACTGGATCACAGAATTGCAGAGCTTCTGATCTGTACAAAGTGCGTCCATGCCACTGGGAATGTATTGAGCTGGATCTGCTTGTTGTTTTTGGCAGCGCATCGGTCTTTTAAACCAATTCCGTTTAGGTGTTATCAGTTGGCCTACTACTACAAGTAGTAAAATGTACCTTATGAATAGGAAATCGCCTTACCTCTGAAACACTTTGATTTCATCAATCATTTTGGCTTTAGTTTGGTTTTCTGGAATGGGATCAGCTTGCCCACAAAAATAACACATTCAAATTTTTGGGTGGTGGAGAAGTGAGGAGCTGAATCCATGAAGCAGTAATTCAAGCTGCTGTAGCCGGAAACATCTATAAAGAATATATATTGACAGTTTTGTATTCTTCTGTTCAATTTCTTTAGCAGGTAACATCAAAGATGTAGTCACCAGATACCAGCGGCCGCTAAACTTGACAAAGAAGGGGTACGCTGTGTCCATGGCTTTTGGAAAGGCAGGCGTGTCCGGGAATGCCGTGGCTGCCACTGCACCATTGCTGAGCTCTTCATAGCAGAAAGACAAGTGTTGGAGCAACTGCCTTTCTGCAGAAAACTGTCACATCTAGCAAAGTTATGCGCAGAAAAAGTAGCTGAGATGAAAAGAAAAAGAGTTACTTCCATTTCAACTAAAATAAGCTTTAGGTCAACAGGACAATAGTACCTCTTAATTAGTGTGTGTTTGTGTGTGTTCATATAATAGCTTGACGTCAGTTTTGTAGTAGAGTACAGTACATAATTACAGAGACTAATGAATGAAGACAACTTGTAGATATTCACTATTGTAAAGTTTATAGAACACAATAATATGACGTAGTGATGCTGTAGTGAGTTGTAGAGGTGAACACCCTTTAGGGGCACATATATGGAACCATCTGGGAGGAATCTGATTGGCCCCAAATGTTTTCTGTAAATTGATGTGGATTTGCTGCTCCTGTGAATCCTCCCCCAGTGTTTCATTAGCAGCTGGAACCACAGTGACTCTGATAAAACAGGAATTAGCAGAATCCATCTGATATGAAGCTGTGGTTTGAATACCACTTCCCTCCTCTTTGAAGAGTAGTCAGATATCTGGGTTCAGGTTTTTGTACAGCCTCTTCTACACTTTGTATCACTGTGTTTCTAGAGCACAGTAGTAGAGAGCTGTGTCTGCCAGGGTTAGATCTCTGATGGTCAGTGTAGTTGATGTTGCTGATGTTTCAGATCCATATCGTTCATTAGGAATATACTTATAATTACTCAGTGATTTTGCTCCTTTCCTGAGTATAAACTGAGGTGCCTGAAGGTCAGAATGATGTCTGTACCAGTAAAGGAGTACACCACTTGCTGTTGTCTGATAGTTGCATGTGAGTGTGACAGATTGTCCTTCTCTTCCACTGACTTCCTCTCGTACAGGAGAGATTGTGTCTCCAGCTATTAGTCCTGGAAAAAGTAGAGCAAATGAAGCCATTAGACTAACATTGTTCATGAGGCTGAGAGGAGAAGACAGTGGAAAATGGCAGCTGTACAGTGTTACTCTGTGGACACAAACAGCTCAGCTGTTTCCATAAATCTTTAGAAAAGAATAAAAAGATGTTGTGCTTTCTATCTTACCAAAGAAAAGAGCAGCAAGAATAATCCCCAGCCAATGTTCCATCTCTACAACAAGGTTTAAATCAACAGGAGAAACTAGCTGATGTTCAACATTCAGTCTGAGAATTGTTCTCTTCACAGCAGCAGTTATTATTGACAGAATGGTTGAACACAGTGCAGAAGTAGTGCACCGCCTACTTGATAATGTGGCTCAGCTTGGATTAACAGCAGCTACAGTGTCATCTAGTGGCCAATCAGAATCAGACCACAGAAGAAGAAAAGACGCCACTGAAACTTCAGACTAGTCCAGCAGCATAACCCAGTTGTCAGCTGATGATCTGTTTGTTCAGCATTTTCCAAACTCAACATAGTTAAAGACTCTACTTCTGTGCTGCGTCACCTCCCCACATCTCTGAAGTTGTGGATTTACAGCAGCAATTAACAAAGTGATGCTACAAACTGTTGAGTCACCTTTCAAGCTTACAGGTGGAGAGGATTTGATAGTGAAACGAGACATTTTCACTGGAATATTCCTTCAGACTAACAAAACCCACATCTGGATGCTGAGATCAGGTCTAGTTTCTGAGTACAGTCCAGTATCACATACAGAGTCTCACTGGGTTTTACATCCAGCAGCATCAGTGAAGACTCCCCATACTGTCCTGCCTTAACATGGAGGAAAACTGATGGAAACCTCACGACAGGAAATTCAGGGAAACCAAGATGTCGGTGTGTTAAGATCATCAGGAATTTAAACAATATGTTATCTACATAAATAACATCACTCTCCTTATTGTCAGTATGTCAGAGCTACAAACACTCTCCTTTTATTGTCAATGCCTCATTTTTCTTCTAGTTTTCATCATCAGTGCAATGAATCCAGACTGTATGATAAACTGAAGTTTAACAGTGTGTGACTCCCTCTAGTGGACGTTGTGGAGTATTCTGTTGTCTTTGCTCCAAAGGTTTTTGTACAGAGTTTTGGTGTTTCCTGTCACTGTGGGCTGCAGAGCACAGTAGTACACAGCAGAGTCAGACAGCTGAAGCTTCTGGATCTTCAGAGGAACTGACTTATCCTTGATTGTAGCATTAAATCTGTCTTTCGTGAACTCTGCAGCAAAATCTGTTGTTTTTGAGTAACTTTTCAGCATGTACTTAGGAGACTCATTTACTTCTTGTTTGTACCAGAACAAAGTTGGACTTCTGTCACTGGTCTCAAAAGTACAGCCAAGTGTAACTGTGTCTCCTTCAGCAGCAATGACATCTCCTGCTGGCTGGGTCACTCTGTCTTCTCCTTTACACTCTGGGGAAGAAGAGAACATGCAGAGGAAGAGATGGATCAATAAAGATGATTGATTAAAGGAGAACAATCAGTAGGTTTAAAGAGTTACCTAGCCAGAGAGTCAGAATCAGGATGTTTCTCAGCCAGTGGTTCATGTCTGCAGTGAGAGGGGAGGAGAGAGAGGAAGAACATTGATACTCTGATGGATCTGGGCCTTCACATCATTGGCCCTTCCTCTTCATCATCTGTTGTCTTTTCTGACCTTGAGTCCCAGTTTTGCTCCTCCCTTAATCCCTCCCTCCTTCCTCTCCAACTCTGACAAATAGTGAGTTTGTCTCTGCTGTGGTGCTGTTATTCACTAAATGACATCATTTCCATCAGGTAACAAGTAGTTGATAAGGTAACACTGATTGACTCTTGACAGAACGTGTGAAGGTCCTGACTGAGGTCAATCTTTACGCAGATGATATGCTACTATTCAATCACACATGACAGCCACATTAACTACTTATTCAGTACTTTACTTGAATAATATTATTCACATTATTACATCTGTGTCACATTTGAGGACAAATCAAATCATGAGAGGAAAATAAATCCCCATTTTCAGCTCAGATTGTTTGCATCTGTCATATTCTCCCCTTTTGGAGTTTTTAAGATGGTGGCGTGAAGGGCGGAGGTAGTGTAACCAGCTCCCATACAAAACCCTAACTTGTCCCCTATCTTGAGTTTCTTAATTACAGAAATGACCCCAGCTTCATACTAATAGAAACCAACGCGGTTCAGCTAAAAATGCCCCCCAAAAGAGCTGAAGCGGCGACGAGGGAAGACAAGAGTGGAAAGCCCCCTCTATCAGCCTCGGCTAACGCCTGCACAGCTAACGCTGCTAACGCTAGCTCACCTGAGGGCCGCTGACCTGGTTTCACAAAGAAATAGAAAAGGGTTAGAGAAAATTCGCTAGGCGTCTCTGTGGAAACTCTTATCAGCAAAAGAATTAGCGGTCTTAAAGACAAGGAAGATGATCTGGAGAACAGAGCCAGACAGCAGAATCTAAGGCTGCTTGGATTCCGGGAGGTGTGGAAGGGAAAAACGGCATCCACAAGAATGGCTCCCGAAAATACTTGACCTTGAGACCGACACCCCGCTCGAAATCAAGCGAGCTCACTTTACACTCCAGCGTGGACCGATGAAGGTAGCTTCCCCGGGCTCTAGTTATCCGCCCATAGATGTGATGAAAATCTTCAGTGCAACACGGAAGAAAAGATCGCTCAAGTACAGTAACTCAGACATCATGATATTCAGGGAATGTCCACGGCTCTCTATAAGAAAAGAAAGCCTTCATGCTGCTGGGGGAAAAAAGCTACATGACAGTAGCATCTCCTTCAGGCTTCTCCACCCCACTAATCTGGTCCTGGACCTCCTGGAGGGATGGTGCACCTTAACATAATTAAGGCCTGGCAGTATCCTCATTTCACCTTATTCTTATTTCCCCTACCAGACTACCTGTTTATCTGCTGGCAAATTTTCACATAGAACAGAGGGTATATGTACTTTATAATGCTGTCAGCGACAAATAGTGTCATCTGAACGAACTTTCAGGACTTCTCAAGCCTTACTTGAGAGACTGTGGACACCTGCTCGGAGTTATTCTTCTGAATTTACAGAAGCAGAGTTCCCTTCCACTAGATTTATAAGTGAATTCTGGAGGTGTTTCATAATGGAGTTGTGGCCATTCAACTTTCCCTGACCTTACTTGAGTGGCTTGGTTACACTGGTTAGAGCAGTCTGTCTTAATACGCTTGTGGACAGGAAGAAATATAGGCCAGTCTCTTCTTTACGGGATGGGTGGGTTTGGAGGGAGGTAGGAGGGTTTATGAAAGGGCAGGGTCTGTTTATCTTTTAGTGGGTTTTTCTCTATTTTGTTTTCTCCTTTTCCTCTTTTCCTTTTCTACCCTTTGTTACAAGACACCACCATGTCTTTTACCTCATCTACTGACAATTATTTTCCACATTGCCACACTAGTGCACGTTGTGATCCATGTCTGCAGATATAACATACAGCTTTCTTAGCTGGAACACCAATGGAATTAATCAACAGGTTAAATGCTAAAAAATCCTCGACTTCCTTAGAAATCATAGTGTTGACGTTGCATGCAGGAATCTCACTTAACAGATGCAGAACACTGTAAGCTAGGTAAACAATGGCAAGGCCAAATATACTACTTTTCATTCACCTCTCAGGCGCGGGGAGTGACCATTTTATTAAGAAAAGGGTTACTGTTTTATTTGAAACATGTAGAAAAGGACAAGGAAGGTTGATGAGCCAGCCACTACGCTTAATGTTCACGGACCAAATCAAAATGATCCAAATTTCTTTGTGAATCTCTTCTTCAATATAACTTGCCCCCCCCACTGAGCTCATCGTCGGAGGAGGTTTTAACCTTCACCACAAATGCAGGTAGGGAATCCTTAATGGCTTATATCAGGGGCTCTACAATTAGCCTCTCTTCTTGGAAAAAGAAACAATGTCAATCCAAAACGAGGTCACTGGAGACTGACAACTCTCGATCAGTTAACCGCCAAAAGGGCTGAATACAATGCTCTTACAACACGGGAGGTGGAGAATGCAATGACTAGGTCGAAACAACGTTATTACGTAAATTACTAGCTTGGCAGATTATAAGTGAGGAAGCTGTGAGATAGATCCCGGCTATTAAACCGTCGGATGGGAATGATGTGGTCTGCAGCCCGAACACATTAATCAGACCTTCACAGAATTCTATCAAACACTTTACTCATCACAGGGTGAGAAGAATCATGACACAGACCGCTTTTTAGATAGCCTGGATCTTACACGGACGCCAGCAGAAACTCAGACGGTACTTGAAGACAAAATAATCAAACAAGAGGTGCTAGATGCTCTGACTGGGCTCCCAGGAGGAAAAGCCCCCGGCCCTGATGGCTTTACAATTGACTTCTTTAAGGCATTTCAAATAAATTACTCGATCCCCTCATAGAAATGTTTAATCACACAATTGAAATCAGTCAGCTAGCCCAAACTCTGGAAAGGGCCCTTATCACAGTTCTGTTGAAACCAGGGAAAGACCCTCATCTCATGTGGGTCATACAGACCTATTTCCTTTCTGTCAACTGAATATAAGGTGCTTGCGAAAATCAGAGCCGCCAGACTCAAGAAAATAGTTCCTACACTGGTTTACATGGACCAGACCGGATTTATACAAAAACGATTATCAACTGATAACGTCAGGAGATTTCTTAACATAGAATGAATGATCCAGTATTGCCTATCTCACTGGAGGCACAGAAAGCCTTTGACCGTGTCGAATGGCACCTCAATAAACTCTTTAGCTGTTAAACTGTGATCCTACAAACCTGGTTAAATAAAAATATCTCATCATGTTGAACAATGGAAGCAGCTCATTGTGGCCTAATGACCCACAGGGTACGAAGAGGATTCAGTGAATCAGTGTCCATTTATTTGTTTCCATGGAGTCTTGTGTTTGAAGCCTCCTGCAGGTGGTTTCTCTCTGATGTGGATTTGCTGCTCCTGTGAATCCTCCCCCAGTGTTTCATTAGCAGCTGGAACCACAGTGACTCTGATAAAACAGGAATTAGCAGAATCCATCTGATATGAAGCTGTGGTTTGAATACCACTTCCCTCCTCTTTGAAGAGTAGTCAGATATCTGGGTTCAGGTTTTTGTACAGCCTCTTCTACACTTTGTATCACTGTGTTTCTAGAGCACAGTAGTAGAGAGCTGTGTCTGCCAGGGTTAGATCTCTGATGGTCAGTGTAGTTGATGTTGCTGATGTTTCAGATTCATATCTTCTATCAGGAATATGTTCATCTGAGTTATCTTTTGCTCCTTTCCAGAGTATAAACTGAGGTGCCTGAAGGTCAGAATGATGTTTGTACCAGTAAAGGTCAGGATAACTTGCTGTTGTCTGATAGTTACATGCGAGTGTGACAGATTGTCCTTCTCTTCCACTGACTTCCTCTTGTTCAGGAGAGATTGTGTCTCCAGCTATTAGTCCTGGAAAAAGTAGAGCAAATGAAGCCATTAGACTAACATTGTTCATGAGGCTGAGAGGAGAAGACAGTGGAAAATGGCAGCTGTACAGTGTTACTCTGTGGACACAAACAGCTCAGCTGTTTCCATAAATCTTTAGAAAAGAATAAAAAGATGTTGTGCTTTCTATCTTACCAAAGAAAAGAGCAGCAAGAATAATCCCCAGCCAATGTTCCATCTCTACAACAAGGTTTAAATCAACAGGAGAAACTAGCTGATGTTCAACATTCAGTCTGAGAATTGTTCTCTTCACAGCAGCAGTTATTATTGACAGAATGGTTGAACACAGTGCAGAAGTAGTGCACCGCCTACTTGATAATGTGGCTCAGCTTGGATTAACAGCAGCTACAGTGTCATCTAGTGGCCAATCAGAATCAGACCGCAGAAGAAGAAAAGACGCCACTGAAACTTCAGACTAGTCCAGCAGCATAATCCAGTTGTCAGCTGATGATCTGTTTGTTCAGCGTTTTCCAAACTCAACATAGTTAAAGACTCTACTTCTGTGCTGCGTTATCACCTCCCCACATCTCTGAAGTTGTGGATTTCCAGCAGCAATTAACAAAGTGATGCTACAAACTGTTGAGTCACCTTTCAAGCTTACAGGTGGAGAGGATTTGATAGTGAAACGAGACATTTTCACTGGAATATTCCTTCAGACTAACAAAACCCACATCTGGATGCTGAGATCTGGAGGTGGGCAGTGAGTTCGGGGCGGCCGTGGCTCAGGAAGTGGAGGAAGTCAAAGGGTTGGTGGTTCAGTCCCCAGCTCCTCCTGTCCACATGCTGAAGTGTCCTTGAACAAGACTCTGAACCTGCTGCAGCTCCACCACCATCAGTGAGAGAGAGTGTGTCTGTTTGTCTGATGGAGAGAATCACTATGAAAGGCCTTGGTATAAAGAGCGTTCTGTACATGCAGCGTATTTAGTGTTTACAGAAAGTTTGATGATGTCTTTATTCTTCAGAAGACAAAGAAATCATGTTTTTTTTTTATTAACAGTGCAATGAATCCAGACTGCATCATAAAGCACTGAAGTTTAACAGAGTGTGACTCCCTCTAGTGGACGTTGTGGAGTATTCTGTTGTCTTTGCTCCAAAGGTTTTTGTACAGAGTTTTGGTGTTTCCTGTCACTGTGGGCCGCAGAGCACAGTAGTACACAGCAGAGTCAGACAGCTGAAGCTTCTGGATCTTCAGAGGAACTGATGTCTTGTTGATAGTGGCATCAACTCTCTCTTCCTCTAAAGGGTTATCCTGTGTTCCAGAGTACCGTTGCAGCATAAACTTTGGGTAATCATTTTCTTCTTGTTTGTACCAGAACAAATAGGAAGATGTAGATGTTGTCTCAAAAGTGCAGCCAAGTGTAACTGTGTCTCCTTCAGCAGCAATGACATCTCCTGCTGGCTGGGTCACTCTGTCTTCTCCTTTACACTCTGGGGAAGAAGAGAACATGCAGAGGAAGAGATGGATCAATAAAGATGATTGATTAAAGGAGAACAATCAGTAGGTTTAAAGAGTTACCTAGCCAGAGAGTCAGAATCAGGATGTTTCTCAGCCAGTGGTTCATGTCTGCAGTGAGAGGGGAGGAGAGAGGAAGAACATTGATACTCTGATGGATCTGGGCCTTCACATCATTGGCCCTTCCTCTTCATCATCTGTTGAGGAACTCTCCACATTTACATCTCATTTACATCTCAGCTGTTTAGCTGATGCTCTTATCCAGAGCAGCTCATAATGAGGAGCTTTAACATGTGAACTTTCTGTTACAACAAAGTCTCTTTAACCACTTTTCACCCTGGAATAGTTAATTCATCAACATGGGTCTGTAATCATTTTAGTTTGTCTCATCATCAGTGATACCAAAGCATTCTGTGTAGAAGAAGACTTCCTTGTGGAGTGCCTTACTGTACAGAAATAGCCTCAATTAAACACCATGATCTGGATTAACTGTGTTTTATTAATAACAGGAGTAATGTTGTAACTTGTCATTAGATTGTGTTGTCAGTGTCCACTTGGTGGCGCTGCTGTTCAGTAAAAGGAGGAGCTGCAGTGAGTAAATCTTCAGAGGAGCTGTCAGGTTTTTGTACAGAGTTTTGGTGTTTCCTGTCACTGTGGGCTTCACAGCACAGTAGTACACAGCAGAGTCTGTCACTGCAGCAGAGGAGATCTGCAGATCCAGATGGGTTTTATCATCACTCACTTTAACAGACAGTCGAGGGACTGGATCATTTCCTACTGCTCCTGAAGCAGAGTGTGAGACGAGGAACTCTGGTGGTTTTCCTGGATATTGTTGATACCAGAAGAAATAATCACTAGATGACAGTTTAGAGTATGTGTAGGACAGAGTAACAGAGCTGCCTTCTAAAGTGAACTCTTCATTCCTGACTGCAGTGAGTTCTTCACAGCTGACACCTGAAGGAAGAGATAACTCTGTTATTTCATGTTGTAAAAGACTCAACAAATGAATCCCATCCAGAAAAGTTAGTAATGAAACTTTCTCAGCAGGATCTCACATACCTGTTAGAATGGATAGTAACAGTAGAGAAAGTACATAATAGTCCAATGACAGCATGTTGAATAAAGGGAATGTTTCTGCTTTGTGTATTGAACTCTGCTGAATATGGAAGTTCCTCTCTCTTCTATAGTTCACTAACAGCTTAGCTCCTCCCTCAATCTTTCCGTCTCCTCGCAGCTCTGGATTTTCACTTCTCTCAGTTTCACTTCCTCCTGTTAACAGACTGGTAGCAGCAGGCTGTATAATCTTTTATAAGCATAGTTCAAAGGATGGATCATCTTTTCAGGATTTGCAAACACAAGGACTCAATTGAAGTCGGCTGATAACTGAACAAAACCTCACTACAGAATCTTGTATCCAGAGTATTTATGCTGAACATCAGTGAGCATCTTAGCAAAGTTTGATTTCAAGTGGTTGACAGGATTAGAGGGGCCAATAAAAGGATCTCACTTCTAGACTCACTCAGTTGTAGGAAGGTCCGGAACAAGTGCACTTCACATGTGATGAACCAGCTGCCATGATTATTGTATTTGAATATGATGCCGTATCTGAACAAACATCTTGATCAACACCATGAAGTCCAAGTTGACACAGGAAGTGCAGTCGTCGTTGTAATCTGCTACAGAGACTGTCCACATGGATTTTCCAGGCTAATGAGTTGTCAATAAAAACAGAAGATATTTGCATGAGGAGACCTGTGAGATGGTTCCATCGTGGACGACCACAGGCCTGCGGCCGCCAACACCCCCTGGGCTCAAACACCCCAGTCTTTTAAATGTTTTCACAAATCTTTGTATCTCTGAACAGTAGTCAGACAGCTCACTGTCCTTTTTCATTAAAGCATCGTCTGAGATTTCATACAAGGTTGGTTATTAGTCATTATACAACACAAGGCTGCATAACAAACAGAAATTTATTGTTCCTTCATGATGCGCACACAACATATACACTGAACAAAATTATAAAGGCAACCCTTTTGTTTTTGCCCCCATTCATCATGAGCTGAACTCAAAGATCTAAGACTTTCTCTATGTACACAAAAGGCCTCTTTCTCTCATATATTGTTCACAAATCTGTCAGAATCTGTGTAAATGAGCACTTCTCCTTTGCCGAGATAATCCATCCACCTCACAGGTGTAGCATATCAAGATGCTGAGCAGACAGCATGGGGATTGCACAGGTGGGCCTTAGGCTGGCCACAATAAAAGGCCACAAGAGAGCCCGGGGTCAGGGCGGCGTCTGGCCGCAGCGTATAGGTGGCAGCTGCTGTTACGAGGAGAGCCCCATGTAACGTTAGGAGGAGGCTAACTTAGTCGGGGAGACCCAGGTAGGGATCGGTTGCGTAGTTGGTGCTATTTGAACATGTTTTCTATTATCTTTTATACATACATGTGAACAAAATAATATGAATGCAACAACTGCACAGAGCTGTATTTAGTTTAGTTCGGGTTGCAGGTAGAGAGTCACTGTCTTGGTGGCAGTGTTAATTTTGACATCAAATTCCGATTTAGTCTTAGTCTTTTGAATAACACACCATTTAGTTTGTCACATTTTAGTCTATCTGAAATCTTTTAGTCTTAGTCTAGTTTAGTCAACTAAATATCATAAGAGTTTTAGTCTTAGTCTAGTCTTAAGTCTTTTAGTCTTAGTCGAGTTTTAGTAGACCAAATATTAGCAGATTTTAGTCGACTAAATCTACAGTGGAGTGGACTTCCTGTCATTGGCCTGCTCTCCCTGAAAAATAAAGATGCTCCCTGAAAAAGATCCCTCCCTGAATGATATGCAATGCATATGACATTCTTTCAAGATGAAGTATAATATTATTGACATAGATAACCTTAACTTACTGTCTTCTACTGTCTGTGCAAAATCAAAAACATTAAGAAAAATAAAGTGCAATTCTCAAAAACAATAATAAAACTATTGGTTGTAATGCCATTGCACAATCAAAATACAGAAACTTCACTACTGTTAATCTTCACGTACCTCAAGAGACGTTAAATAACTGCTAGGCTTTGAACTGAACAGATTAGTGCAATTCTCTAATGTAGAATAATGTATTGGCTGTAATGCCATTGCACGCACTACCAAAGACATCCTCCCTAATGTTCAAGTAAATAAAAAACCCTGCTCTCATACAGGTAAATGTCACATTAAACTAAAAAACTCTGTAAGCATCATCTTCTTCTTCATCCTCTATTACTCTGTGCATTGTGTGCAAAATCAAAGAGATTTAAAAAAAAACATGTAAAAGATAATATGTATTGGTTGTAATGTCATTGCACACAAAATGAAATAATCTTCTGTTAATAATTAAAAGAAGTATCAAGTATCAGTGAATTACATGCTAAGCTGTAATGCCATTATTGCATGGAACGAAAAAATCTCTCTGCTCTCATATTAAACAAAAAACAAAACAACTAACTTTCAAGCTGTGCATATCCTACTTCAGGAAATGCTGTAAATAGCAGTGAATACAACAGTTCTATTTGTTTCTGTTCATTTTAAGGAAAGCACTTCGCTCCAGTGTAACCCTTCCTCTGTTGCGCCGTCCTCTTGTGAGGTCACCTGTGATGCTGAATACCCTCTCTGCAAAGCTTGAGAAGCTGGCATAGCCAACAAGTCTAACGCGAAAGGTTTTAAACTGTGATAAAAACTGTCACTCTTATCCAGCCACAAGTCTGTTCCTGTGTCCGCAGTGATGGGATGTGAAAGTTCTTCCTTGTACTTGATGATCTGCCGCCTGATGTTGGTTGTGGAGGTTTTCTGTTTAGGCCTTGTGGTGCGGCATTTTGAGAGGAACCTAAACACCGGCTGCTTTGAGGATGGCGCTGCTTCTGGTTCCTCAATAACCTCTTCTTCTGCATCATCTTCAGACTGGTCCTCCTGTCTTGTGTGTGGGAAAGTGCATTTGACCACATAGTCTTCTGCCTGTTTCAGCAGTTCCTGAACTGAAGAAGTCCTTTGGATAAGGGACGAAACGTCTTCCAGTATCTTCAACCAAGTCCAGTTGCCCTTCATTTTAACCCTCGTTGGATTCCTGGATATTTCCATCAGCCACATCAACATTAACAAGGATTTCACAGACAGTTGGGTTGACAAAGCAGGCAGCTGCTGCAAGTGCTGAGAACTTTTCATCGGTTGAATCCAAGAGGCAAGCAAAACGCTGGTTCAGATTTGATCTCATTTTCTCTGCAAGAGTGGCGAGGTCTCTGTACCGACTGTTCTCTGCAAAGTCAGTTAGGCGGCTCAGCAGATCAAAGAGGGCAGGAACCACTAAGGACATAGATGCAGTGTCACTCTGGAGGGTTTTAGTGTGTTCCGCAAAAGGCAGCAGTAAGTCATGCAATGATGAAAGCTTTTGCCACTCACTAGTAAGCAAACTGTCCCATCCCATGTCATTTGTGATTTGACAGACTGCATCTTTGACTGTGAGGAGTCGTGCGACCATGTTGAATGTGCTTGACCAGCGTGTGGGGCAGTCATTTACAACAATAACACCACAGTGGTCCGATAACCTCTGTGTTGCAACTGAGGACTTGCGAAAGAGCTTCACCACATCACCACCATGTCGACATGATGGTACCTAATAACAAGAAGAAAAGACAACCAAGTCTAAACCTAATAAATTGGCTGGTGTGTGTCTGTACATACTGTATATATGTAGTGTGTGGCAGGGGGAAAACCATTCATGTGATAATTGACTGTGATGTAAAAGAATAAACTAAACATGGCTCACCGCTGGTCATCAATTTCAGAGTCACTTTCCATCGTGGACCCAGGGGAGTCATCCTCAGAGCTGGTTTCTTCTGCTGTGGTGTTTTTAAAGGCTGCCACCATGTTACTCCCATTGTCCGTTCTTACCGTCAGGATCTTCTCCTTTGGTATGCCCCACTCTTGCATTCAT